AATTCACAAATGGAATTACATCAAATTGAGAAGTTTCTGTACTGCAAAAGAAACACTCAGCAAAGTGAAGAGGCAACCAACTAAATAGAAATTATTTGCAAACTATGCAACTGATAAAGGATTAGCTCAAGAAACTCAACAACAAAACAAACAACCCACTTAAGAAATAGGCAAAGGACTTAAACAGGCATTTTCAAAAGAGGAAATCCAAATGGCCAACAGACACATGAAAAAATTCTCAGGATCACTAGCCATTAGGGAAAGGCAAATCAAAACCACAATGAGGTTTCTCCTCATCCCAGTTAGATTGGCTTTTTTTTTTTTTTTTTTTTTGGCCAGGCAGAGTTAGACAGTGAGAGAAAGAGAGATGGAGAGAGAGAGAGAGTTATAGACAGTGAGAGAGAGGGAGAGACAGAGAGAAAGGTCTTCCTTCCTTTGGTTCAGCCCCCAAATAGCTGCTACAGCCGGCACACTGTGCTGATCCGAAGCTAGGAGCCAGGTGCTTCCTCCTGGTCTCCCATGTGGGTGCAGGGTCCAAGTGCTTGGGCCATCCTCCACTGCCTTCCCGGGCCACAGCAGAGAGCTGGACTGGAAGAGGGGAGACTGAGACAGAATCCGGCACCCCGAGCAGGACTAGAACCTGGGGTGCCGGCGCCACAGGCGGAGGATTAGCCTAGTGAGCCGGGGTGCCGGCCTAGATTGGCTTTGATACAGAAATGAACAAAAAACAAATGCTAGTGAGGATATGGGGAAAAGGTACTCTATGGCCGGTGCCACGGCTCACTAGGCTAATCCTCTGTCTTGCGGCGCCGGCACACCGGGTTCTAGTCCCGGTCGGGGCGCCGGATTCTGTCCCGGTTGCCCCTCTTCCTGTCCAGCTCTCTGCTGTGGCCAGGGAGTGCAGTGGAGGATGGCCCAAGTGCTTGGGCCCTGCACCCCATGGGAGACCAGGAGAAGCACCTGGCTCCTGTCATCAGATCAGCGCAGTGCACCGGACGCAGCGCGCCAGCTGCGGCGGCCATTGGAGGGTGAACCAACAGCAAAGGAAGACCTTTCTCTCTGTCTCTCTCTCTCACTGTCCACTCTGCCTCTGGAGGAGAAAAAAGTGTACCAAATAGAGCACTCTTAAACATACAATGGGCGGAATCCTCACCATTGGGACAGCCACTGTGGAAGACAGTATGGAGACAACTCAGAAATCTTAATATAGAACTGCCATATGACCCAGCCATCTCACTCCTAGGAATTTACTCAAGGGAAACAAAATCAGCATATGAGAGAGTTATCTGTACCTCCATGTTTCTTTCAGCTGAATTCACAAAAGCTAAGATATGGAATTAACCCAAATGTCCATCAACTGAAGACTGGATAAAGAACTTATGGGATATGTACTTCATGGAATACTACACAGAAGTTAAAAAAACCTATGAAACCCTGTTGTTTGCAACAAAATCGATGAAACTGGAGGATATCATACTTAGTGAAATAAGCCAGTCCCCAAAGGACAAATACTATATATTCTCCCTGATCTGTGATAATTAATGGAGCACCTAAAGTGTAATCTATAGAAGTGAAATTGACACTTTGAGATGCAATGACTTTGACAGTCCTTGTCTCAACTGTCGAGGAAAAGTTTTCTTCTTTTTTCATGCTATTTGTTGAAATCTTAGTTAATCAGTATGTATAGAAAGTTAACTGAAAATAGATCTTAGTAAAAAAATTATAACGGGAAGAGGAGAGGGAGGAGGAAGAAGGGTGAGAGTGCAGGAGAGAGGGTGAGTATAGTGGGAAGAATCACTATGTTCCTAAAGCTGTATTTATTAAATGCATGAAGTTTGTATTGCTTAAATAAAAGGTTTCTGGGGAAAAAGGTAACAGTTCAGGTTTTGGTCAGACACTAGCTTGGTGACTTTTGACAATAATGATGAAGATGACAACTGTGTAGAAAAGAAGTAACACAGCAACCTACCCTTAGAAAGGCCTGATTAAAATGTTGCCCTTTTGGGGGCTGGACTTGTGGTTCAGCAAGTTAAGCTGCTGCCTATGATGCTGGCTTCCAGTATGAGCACTGGGTGGAATCTCAGCTGCTCCACTTCAGATCTAGCTCCTTGCTAATGCACCTGAGAAAGCAGCAGATGGTTCAAGTAATCGGGCACCTGCACCCACAGGAGAGACCCGAATGGTGTTCCTGGCTCCTGCCTTTGGCCTGGCCCAGTCCCATTGTTGTGGCCATTTGGGGAGTGAACCAACAGATTGAAGATCTCTCTCACTCTTTTGCATCTTTCCTTGTCTGTCACTCTGCCTTTCAAATAAATAAAATATTAAAAAAAATTTTAAGATTTTATTTATTTGAGATGCAGGGTTACAGACAGAGGGAAAGACAGAGAAAATTCCTCCATCCTCTTGTTCATTCCCCAAATGGCTGCAACAGCCAGACCTGGGCCAATCCAAAACCAAGAGCCAGGAGCTTCTTCCAGGTCTGACATGCAGGTGCAGGGGCCCAAGTACTTGGGCCATCTTCTACTGCTTTCCCAGGCCATAGTACACAGCTGGATTGGAAGAGGAGCAGCCAGGACAGGAACTGTCACACATATGGGATGTTGGCACTAAAAGCTGATGCTTAATCTACTACACCACAGCGCCAGCCCCTCTTAAAAATTTTTAAAAATAAAATAAAATATTGCCCTTGATTGGTCTCTGGGAACTTAGATTACATGAGAATTTTCACCATTCCTTAGATGTGGAGAGTGGCTCTCTTTGCCTAAGTATTATGGTATATGTGGAACACCTGCTTTCTTTCTAGGTGTCTAGAAGTTTGGTATGTGCTAAGCAGAGGGTACCTATGTGACCAGTCACCAATAAAAACGCTGGGTACTAGGTTCTTCATGACTTACCATGCAAATGACATTTAGCAAGTGTTGTCACAACCTGTTTCTGAAGTAACAGTATAAGCACATCCTGGGTGACCTCTGGGAGAAGACTCTGCAAAGCTTGTGCCTGACTTCCTTTAGACTTTGCCCCATGCACATTTTCCTTTGCTGAATATGTATATGCACACACAATTTACTTGTGATGCAAATGTGCTATACACAGTATTCTCTAACTTGGACTTTTTTATGTAAAGCTTTTCTGCATGTAAAGCTTAATTACTTTATTTAAATTTTTATTTCTACGCAGTTCTTGTATATTTTTATGGGGTACTGTGCAATATTTCAACACATGCACAGCATATCCCTTTCTTAACCTTTCTTTGAAAAATATTTATTAATTTAATAGAGATGCAGAAAGAGACAGACAGATAGACAAAGACAAAGAGCTCCCATCTGCTGGTAGACAGACAGACAGACAAAGACAAAGAGCTCCCATCTGCTGGTTCACTCCCCAAATGCCTTCAACAGCAGGGGCTGGGGCAGGTTGAAGCTGGGAGCCAGAAGCTCAATCCACGTCTCCCACATGGAGGGCAGGAACCAAAATATTTAGGCCTGCATCTCAATTCACAGTAGCAAAGATATGGAATCAACCCAGATGTCTGTCAACTGAAGACTGGATAAAAAAATTATGGGATGTGTACACCGTGGAATACTACACAGCAGTTAAAAATGAAATCCTGTCATTTGTAACAAAATGGATACAATTGGAAAAACATCATACTTAGTGAAATAAGCAGTCCCCAAAAGACAAATACTACATGTTTTCCTTGATCTGTGGTAACTAAAAGAGTACCTGAAAGGTAATCTATAGAAGTGAAACTGACACTCTGAGATGCAATGACTTTGAATAGCCCTTGTCTCAACTGTTGAGAACAGTTTATTTTTTTTCTTACTATTCGTTGAACTTTTTACTTAGTATAAGGTTAATCTTATGTATATAAAGTTAATTGAAAATAGATCTTAGTAAAAAATAAGAATGGAAATAGGAGAGGGAGGAGGAAGAAGGATGGGAGTATGGGTGGGAGGGAGAGGGGGGTGGGAAGAATAAGTATGTTCCCAATTGTGTGTATGAAATGCATGAAGTTTGTATGCCTTAAATAAAAGGTTTCTAGGTTAAAAAAAAGTATTTAGGCCATCATCTGAAAACCAGCATGGTCGTCAGCGGCAAAAAACTGGAGTCAGGAGTAGAGGTGGAACTCTCAAACCCAGGCATTCTGATATGGGATGTGGACATCTTAACCACTGCGCTAAACACCTGCCTCCTGCCCCTTATCTCTTCTTCTTCTTCTTCTTCTTTTTTTTTTTTTTTTTTTTTTTTGACAGGCAGTTAGACAGTGAGAGAGACAGAGAGAGAGTTATAGACAGTGAGAGAGAAATAGAGAGAAAGGTCTTCCTTCTGTTGGTTCACTCCCCTAAGGGCCCCTACGGCCAGTGCTGCACTGATCCAAAGCCAGCAGCCAGGTGCTTCCTCCTGATCTCCCATGTGGGTGCAGGGACCCAAGCACTTGGGCCATCCTCTGCTGCCCTCCCAGGCCACAGCAGACAGCTGGACTGGAAGAGGAGCAGCCAGGACTAGTACCCAGCGCCCAAACCAGGACTAGAATCCAGGGTGCCGGCATCGCAGGTGGAAGATTAGCCTAGTGAGCCATGGCGCCAGCCAACCCCTTATCCCTTCTTATCTTTGGAGCCTACCAGCTTCCTTTTTTCCAGGTATTTATACATTGTTGGAAACTGTAGTCAATGCACTATGCTATGGAACACTAGAACTTTCTGCTTCTGTGTTTTGGTACCCACTGTCCATCCAATCTTCCTCTATCCCCTCCCTCTTTCCAACATTTCCAGCCTACAGTAATCACTACTGCAAGTTCAGATAGGTAACTTTTGACTTCCTAATATTTCTTGAACATCTTAGTATGTTGGGGCATACAGGTCTATCATTCTTTTTAATAGCTTGTCCATATAGTTTTTAACAATCTAATAAAGTCAAACATTAACCTTTTTCTCCCAAAAGTTAACTTCATTTATCTGATTTCAATAATTTGAGATTAATCTGATAATGGGCATACTTACAGGGTGTTTGAGTGTGCAGAGTTCATATAAGACACAGCCAAGAGACCAAATATCCCTAGGGAAGATAAGAGGTTACTTGTTAAGAAAATAACCACGGATCTGAGTAAAAGCTTTTATGCTTCCTGCACCTTACACTCATGGAACTTCAGAAATTTATATAGGTTGCTCCATTTTTATAAATGCTTTCAGATATATTACCAATTCTTTTTCTTATTACACTGTGAGGTAAAATAAAAACCATTTGTGCCTTTTGGGAATCCTAGCAAAGAATATGTAAACTTTGCTACAACTGGATGGATGGTCCAATATTTACTGCAACTTCATGTGCTCAAAGAAAACCGTGAATATGATGAAATTTTGAGCACTTTGAGGAGGGAGGCAGGACTCAAACATGGATTTGTTTTGACTCAAATTATAAAATGTGGTTGATTTTGAAGGTATATTCTACTACAGACTCTTGACAGAACCAAAGTTATATTAAGTGATGAGCAGAAGTCCTGAAATAAACATTAGAAAAATATATTTATAATACATGACTTGAGTTTTGCTCTTTACAGAGTTAGCATTTAATAAATATTTACATGGGGAGCTGGTGCTGTGGCATAGTGGGCTAAATCACTGCCTTCAGTGCTGGCATCCCAGATGGGCACTGGTTTGAGTCCTGGCTGCTCCATTTCCAATCCAGCTCCCTGCTAATGTGCCTGGGAAAGCAGGAGAGGATGGCACACGTGCTTGGGCCCCTGCACCCACATGGGAGACCCAGAAGAAGCTCCTGGTTCCTGGCTTTAGCCTGGCCCAGACCCTGCCGTTGTAGCCATTTGGGGGGATGAACCAGTGGATGAGAGACCTCTCTCTATCTCTGTATCTCTCTCTCTCCTTCTTTCTCTCTAGTTCTGCCTTTCAAATAGATAAAATAAATCTTAAAAAATATTTACATGGGATTGGTATAATAAGGAATTATTCTATAGAACAAAAAATATAATTAAATCTACAACAGCAAAGAAAAATAATGAGAAGACAGGTCGTAAAAGAATCAAAACAAGCTAACGTAAATGGCTATACCAGTTAGTAATGCTTCCTGTGTGTTTGTGAGAGTGCGCACAACAGTGACAGAGAGGGAGGGAGAGAACCTGATACTAAAGGACTACATACAGCAGATGATTATAGAACTAATTGGAAACAAAGTTGAACTGCTTTCTACAATTCCCAGAAATTCACCTGCCATTTCTCACCACACAGATATTTTGCCTTTATTTGGTCTTCTAGTCTCCAAACTTCTCTCTTTTCCCACAGCGCCCTCTGTGGCCAGTATGGTGAATTCACAACCTTCAGGGCTCAGGCCCCATCTAACCTAGGCCACCTGTAGTCCTGACACCACCCTCTGTGTGACAAACCAAGGAATGGTTTGCTGGCCTAAATGGGCCAGCAGCTATGCTGGTGGTTATTGCCAATATCTTTCAGATTCCAAAAACACCAAATCTGCACATCTGAAAGTGTTTCGGTATTTAAATGTGGACTCAAATTCTTAAAAAAAATAGTTACTTTTTATTTCATTTGAAAGATAAAGAGATAGACAGACAAAGAGACATTTTTCCATCCACTGGTTCACTTCCCAAATGGCCACAAAAGCCAGGGCTGGATCAGGACTCAATTTAGGATCAAAAGCAGAAGAGCTGAAACTGAAACCAGAAACTGACATGGGCTCAGGGTACCAAGCAGTGTCTTAACCAGTGCAACAAATGTCTGTCCTGATGCAAATTCTTTTTTCTTTTTTTAAAGATTTACTTTGTTTATTTGAAAGGCAGAGTAACAGAGAGAGCAAGAAGAGAGGGAGAAACAGAGAGAAAGAGAGAGATCCTCCAACCACTGGTTCATTCCCCAAATGGCCGCAAAAGCTAGGGCTGAGCCAGACCAAAGCCAGGAGCTTGAAACTCCATCTGGGTCTCCTTTATGGGTACAGGGGCCAAAGCACATGGGCCAACTTTCACTGCTTTCCCAGGCCATCAGCAGGGAGTTTTGCTTGGACCAGCCTCACTCCCATCCTGCATGGTTCTAGCTGCATTACTGCACAACATGAAACCAAGCTCCTTGGTGCCAAAAGATGTCAAAACAAGCAAATAAACAATGCCTGTTATTTTATTATGCTTTGCCTTCCTTCTTTCTCTTTCAAAATCTAACAGCCAAATATCCCTTGGGCGTTTTCCTAAACAAATGAACAAGGAACTCTCAATGGAGTTAACTCAGTTAACCATTAACTCAGCCTTCCCTCTAGGCCAAGTTAGTGGCAGTGGCTCTTCCAGCCACTGGTTCACTCCCCAAATACTGGTAACTGCTAGGGTTGAGCCAGGCTGAAGCCAGGAGCCAGGAGTTCCATCCAGGTCTCCCACATGGGTTTAAAGGGCTCAAGCACTCAGGCATCATCTGCTTCCTCCCAGGGTGCATATCACCAGGAGGCTGGATCAGAAGCAGAGGTGGGGACTTCATTCCAGGCACTCCAACAGGGGATGCACTGGTCCCAAGCAATAGCTTAACCTGCTGTGCCACAACACCTGCTCCATTGGTAGGTTTTAAAGCTGGAAGTCACTTTAAAGATCATCTAGCCAACACCTGTTTGTGAGAGGTTGGAGAACTGAGAACCACAGAGGCAGGCTGACTTTGTCAAGTCAGTGGATGAGCCAAGACTAGGATTCCCAGCTCCTAAGCCAGTGCAGACACCACTGCTACCTACCTGACACATCTACAACATTTTTCTGCAATAGATTAAATAATAGGCAATGATGGGCATCACACTGACTGCAGCTGTCAATATTATTTCTTCTAAAACCAAAAAATAAATAAATAAAATATTATTCCTTGTATCACTTGTATATTTAGATGAAGAAAAATTTTTCTAGGGGCTGGCGCTGTGGCTCACTTGGTTAATCCTCCATCCTCTGCCTGCGACGCCGGCATCCCATATGGGTGCTGGGTTCTAGTCCCAGTTGCTCCTCTTCCAGTCCAGCTCTCTGCTGTGGCCAGGGAAGGCAGTGGAGGATGGCCCAGGTGCTTGGGGCCCTGCACCCGCATGGGAGACCAGGAAGAAGCACCTGGCTCCTGGCTTCGGATCAGTGCAGTGCCGGCCGTGGCGGCCATTTGGGGGGTGAACCAACGGAAGAAAGACCTTTCTCTCTGTCTCTCTCTCTGTCTATAACTCTATCTGTCAAATAAAAAAAAATTTAAAAAAAGAAAAATTTTTCTAAATTAGTTCAAAAGCTTCAGGGAGCACTAGTCAGGGATAGTCGCTGGGATCCCCATTCTGCATATGAAGAAAATGAAATTAGAAGAATATGTGAAGAAAAAGAAGAGATTAAACTCTACTTTCTGAAATCTTAACTCACTGTTGTCCATCGAATTTTTTTCTTTAATTTTCTTTATGAATTTGAAAGGCGGATCTACACAGAGAGCGGCAAGACAAAGAAAGAAGTCCTCCAACTGCTAGTTCACTCCCCACATGACCACCAATGGCTAGGGCTTGGCTAGGCCAAAGCCAGAAGATTAGAATTCCACCTGGGTCTCCTACATGGGTGGCAAGGGCCTATGTGGTTGGGGTGTCTTCTGGTGTTTTCCCAGGTGCATTAGCAGGGAGCTGGATGGGAAGCTAAGCAGCCAACTGGTATCCATATGGGATGGCTTCCTTGCTGGCACAGGCTTAACCAGCTGTGCCACAACACCTGTCCATCAGATTTTACTAACATTTTCAAACTAGTAATTAGCAACTCACGTTTTATTGTTGTAGGGTTTATTCTGACAGATCTCTGGAGACAGATAGTAAGGCGTTCCAACACAAGTTCGAGCAAGTTCCATGGAACTAATAAATTACATAAAAAAGTATGGTTTATTATATAAGAAAAGGCTTACTTATGCAAGCAAAATATATAAAAATAACACAAAATTTGAAACATGCACATATTAGAAGAAAGCAAAACTGTACACTGCTAATAGAATGATAAAATCACTTTTTTTTGCTTGTTGGGATATAATCAGTTGATTTTTTTAAAAAAAGATTTATTTATTTATTTGAAAGGTAGAGTTACAAAGAGGCAGAAGCAGAGAGACAGAATCTTCCATATGCTGGTTCACTCCCCCAGTGGCTGCAACGGCCAGAGCTGGGCCGACCTGAAGCCAGGAGCCATGAGCTTCTTCCGAGTCTCCCACACGGGAGCAGGGGCCCAAGGACTTGGGCCATCTTCCACTGCTTTCCCAGGTCATAGCAGAGAGGTGGATTGGAAGTGGAGCAGCTGGGTCTCGAACCAGCATCCATATGGGATGCTGGCACTGCAGGCGGCAGCTTTACCTGCTACGCCACAGCACTGGCCCCAATCAGTTGATTTTTAAACTTATAAATAGCTCCTCCAAAATTTTTAATGGCTTAAAATTTCTACAAAGCAATATAATGGTTATGTTCTAAAAATCTCTCCGATGGACAAAGACCCCATTTTACAGTTATCAAAGAAATGCAATCTCATGATTTAAAATTGGGAAATAAGAAACTGAAAAAGGTTACCTGGAATTTTTGTACCCCAAAACAACTATTGTTAAAATTTTTGATATATTTTTCCATGAATATTTTTCATATAGCTGTGATCAAAGTGCAATTAAAATTCACAACTCTATTTTCTTTACTTAATATCCCTACAAACTATCAAGAAGTCTTCAAAATCATGAGTGGTTCTGATATAAAACGAGGGTGTAAGTTAGAAATTAGCCTGTGTGTGAGAGGGGCCTGAGGAAAACAGCATGTGCAGAAGCTCACCTTGGAAGCAGCCCAGCATTGACACTGCAAAGTCCTGCCCAGACCCTGGTAACTTCCCAGGTGGTCTCAGCCCCTCCCCCGGGAAGGCTCCCCAGGACAATCCTCTCTTCTCAGCACCAAATGCGTTACCAGGCTTGATAACACGAAGCAGTAAAACTTTCACAGCCTTCCTCTAAGGCAGGCACCACGGGGAGGCTCCCCTGCCCAGCGCCAGAAGGGCTCCCTAGCCTTTCAATACTGAGTAGAAGGCTAGGGACGAATTTTCCTAATTTACACTCAGCAAACCCTTAGTCCTGGATAAGAGAAACAGTTAATGTGCTCAGCTCTCTGCTCTCCGCTGAGCCGCCCACCTGGCCTGTCAGGTGTATTCTCTCCATTCAACCAGGTAACCTTGCTTTCCCCCAGTCTGAGTGACTGGGAACTCTCTGTCCCTTCTGTTCTGATGGATGCCCTGCCCCCAATAAAACTTTGCTACTTTGCTCTGTCTCACCCCTGAATTCTTTCTTGCACAAACACAAGAACACCACCACTCATCTCTGCTAACAAGGATACATCAAAAAGTCTGTGGAAAATGGAATTAAGAGATAAGTTGACTTTGGTGCAAAATATTTTGAAATCCACACATATGTGAGGTCTTTATAAAGTCTATAGAAAATGCATACTATGAAAAATGGCTGGCGCCGTGGCTCACTAGGCTAATCCTCCGCCTTGCGGCGCCGGCACACTGGGTTCTAGTCCCGGTCGGGGCGCCGGATTCTGTCCCGGTTGCCCCTCTTCCAGGCCAGCTCTCTGCTGTGGCCCGGGAAGGCAGTGGAGGATGGCCCAAGTCCTTGGGTCCTGCACCCGCGTGGGAGACCAGGATAAGTACCTGGCTCCTGGCTTCGGATCAGCGCGCTGGCTGCGGCGGCCATTGGAGGGTGAACCAACGGCAAAAGGAAGACCTTTCTCTCTGTCTCTCTCTCTCTCACTGTCCACTCTGCCTGTCAAAAAACAAACAAACAAAAAAACTATGTATGAATTTCAACATTTTTTGCACCAAAATAATCTTTTAGTTCATTTTCTACAAACTTTAAGATTAATTTATTTATTTAAGAGGCAGTGTTACAGAGACAGTGAGAGACAGAAAGAAGTCTTCCATCCACTGGTTCACTCCCCAAATTGCCGTAACAGCCAGAGCTGGGCTGATCCAAAGCCAGAAGCCAGGAGCTTCTTCTGGGTCTCCCACGTAAGTGCAGGGGCACAAGTACTTGGGCCATCTTCCACTGCTTTCCCAGGCCATTAGCAGGGAGCTGGATCAGAAGTGGAGCATCTAGGGCTCAAACTGGTGCCACGGCACTGGCCCCTTTCTACAAACTTTTTGAAGTATTCCCATATATTTGGGTACATGAGTTTCATTATTTTATTTAACCATTTTTCAATTACCAAGCATTTAAATTATTCCAAATCTCAAATTATTCCTTTGGAATAAATTCCTAAAAGCAAAACATTTAAAATCTTCTTCATAGATATTACCACCAAATTGTCTTCCAAAACAGTCACAGCAATTTATTCCCCTAGCAAGTATAAACCTGTTTCTCTAAATTCTCATGAGCTTTATGCATTTTCTAGTCCCATATTTGCTAAACTTGTATCATGCTATACAACATTACCATCATCATTTTGTTATGCCACAATTTCTTTTCGGAACTGTAATCTCTGGCAAAGTACCATCTGAATTATTTAATTCATTTCTATAAAATTTCTTCAAATTATTTGTACAACCAAGTTTATTTTGGCTGCTTTGAATAGAAAAAAAAAGATTTTTAAAAATACTTACTTATTCAGGACTCTTGCTATACCAAAGTCCCCAAGCTTGGCAACCATTCCATTCTTGCTCAGAAAAATATTCTATAAATGGAGAAAATGTTACGTTTATTGAAATACTGCAAGAAAAGAAAAGTCCATTCTTTGTCTTCTCTTTGTGCTATTACCTGAGCTTTTATGTCCCTGTGTAAGATCTTCCTATCGTGAATATGTTTTAGTCCTAGAGAAATTTGCACAAACCAACCCAGGATCTGTAGAGGGGACATAGAATAAAACTAGTCAACAGTCGGGCATTCACTGAAATGTCTTCATGATTACATGCAGAAAGAGAGAGATGATACATTTTTCTATGTGTGGGTTTATAGGAATGAAACAGAGATATTTTATCACATTATTTTTGTTTTACAGCTAGAACAATGGAGGCACAGAAAGGCAGTTCAAACATTTTTGGGTCTCAAAGGGAATTCCAGATACAGGCACAGGAGCAGGGAGCTGGCATGGAAGTGGAGCAGCCGGGATGCCTGTGCTGCAGGTAACGGTTTTACTTGCTGCGCCCCAGTGCTGGCCTCATATTCCAGATATAGAAAAAGATAAGCAGCAAGGGAAAGAGGGAGACATTGATTATTTTCTTTTTCTTATTTGATACTGGGTTGCTGATGGCATCGGGAACAGGAGACTGCAGCCCTGTTTGTTGATAGCACTGATACCACTGGTTTTTCCTTTCCGTAGAGGAAGATGCTGAGGACAGGAAGAAAAAGGAACAAGTCGAGAACTGATGAGGGTATTAGAGATTGTAATAAAACATCTATCTATGTATCTGATATAAAAGCCAACAAAAGTTTTACTTATAAATCTTAGCTTTATTTCTTAGTCATGATTTTTATTTTATCTTAGTTGGCCATGTGCCTCCTTATTAAAATGTGTCTTATGGGGGCGGCGCTGTGGCATAGCAGGTAAAGCCACTGCCTGCAGTGCCGGCATCCCATATGGGCACCAGTTTGAGTCCTGGCTGCTCCACTTCCAAGCCAGTTTTCTACTATCGCCTGGAAAAGCAGTAGAAGATGGCCCAAGTCATTGGGACCCTGCTCCCACATGGGAGACCCAGAAGCAGCTCATGGTTCCTGGCTTTGGATCGGCTCAGCTCTAGCCGTTGTGGCCATCTGGGGAATAAACTGGTGGATGGAAGACTGCTCTCTCTGCCACTGCCTTTCACATAAAATAAATAAATCTTTAAAAAATAAAATAAAAGAAATGTGTCCTATGTTTACAGAAATTCATTTAAACTATTCTAAAATTTCAAATTATTTAGGAAGAAAAAAATAATAGGGAATAGAAGCTATATCCCAAGTATTTAGTTGTTATTTTAGTTCTTTCCCAACAAAGGGAAGCAGAACTCAAATTTTTCTTCAAAAGCATTTTTAGGGGTCAGCACTGTGGCGCAGTGGATTAAAGCTCCTGCCTGCAGCACCGGAATCTGAGATGGGCGCTGGTTCAAATCCCAACTGCTCCACTTCCAATCCAGCTCTCTGCTATGGCCTGGGAAAGCAGCAGAAAACGGCCCAAGTCCTTGGGCTCCTGCACCTGTGTGGGAGATCTGGAAGCAGCTCCGGGCTCCTGGCTTCGGATCAGCTTATCTCTGGTTGCTGTGGTCATTGGGACAATGAACCAGTACATGGAAGACCTTTCTCTCTCTCTGGCTCTAGCTGTCTCTGTAACTCTGTCTTTCAAATAAACAAAACAAATCTTTTTAAAAAATTTAAAAATAAAAAATAAATTTTAAAAATCATTTTTACAAAATGTAGCAAAAGAATACCCAGAAAGAAAAAAAAGGGAAGGTTTCTACAGATAAACAATTTAATAAAAAATGAAATGAACATAGGGATAATACTTGATTAAATTTGTGGAGATTAGAGATATTGACTTTTTAATCATTCATACATATGAAATACTCAACTTAAACTCTATAAAGAAATTATATGGGCTTGAAGCTCTTAGATGGTAAAGTAGAACAAAGGCACAAATGGCCAAGAGAAAGATGGTGACTATTCACCTCACCTGTGCTACTACTTGAGGCAATGGCCTTACCCATCAACGGCATGGGCCTTAATTCAGATTCCTCGCCACACACACACATACCTGTCTCCTTCATGAGTACAACGCCCAAGCGGGTCCCAAAGGAGGCTTGAAGTACAGAAGAAAAATGTGTTTGTGCAAAGAGCAAATGGATACTAAAGCCATTCATCTTCACCCTTTCTCCTCTCTTAACAGCCACTAAAATTAAATAGACATTGCTAAGATCTTCCGTCTTCCCTAGCAGAGCAGGATAGCTATTTTAAAACAGAGTGCCAAATGATAAAAGGAAAGAGTGAAGCTATAAATATGTCACATTTCAAATAGCTAAGGAGCATCCACAGTCAGATGCTTTTTAAGCCAGGAAGATTTATCTCAGAGGCATCCTAAGTGAGACTGTCCAAAGAGACTATCTTTTCTCAAGAAGATCTCATTGCTCAGAAAAGGTAGAGTTCAAGTTCAATTGCAAACATGTTTTGGTCTGAATTTTCCAAGAATATTGATCCACTCTTTCATGTTTCATACAAACTTATGACATTTTAAATGTAATCCTTCCTCTCCACATATAGATTAAACAGCAAATTAGAAATGATTTTACCTGATCTTCACTAAATAACACTCCCCGCTGTCTGCTGATCCTTCTCATGAGATCCCCTCCATCACAATATTCCATGACAATAAACAGCCGATCTTTTTCTGTAAGAAAAGGCATCATTTGGCGCTGGAGGGGTTCAGATATTTATCAATCATTTGCTTGTTAAGTTCCAGAAGGTGGAGGATACAACAGGAAAAAATACCATATATAATAGTTCACAACTCTGGCTGTGGAGTCAAGATGGACGGCATTCTATGCCCACTTGACCACTGAACATTTCTTGGCTCTGTAACTCTGGGCAAGTCACTTTCTTTGTGTCTTATTACCTCATCTGTAAAATGCAAATAATTCAGAAATATCCTACTAGGATGACTGGAAAGATCAAATGAGTTCATCCATGTCAGATGCATGAATATTGCCTATACATGAGAGTGTGGTGAGAGCTATTATGATTAATACATTACTATAAGGATTAGAAATCTGCTGGAAACATTGAATGTTTTGGAGGACTCAGAAAAATTGACTAAAGAAAAAAATGCCATTTACCTAAACGTTGGATGAGACAAGTAAAAAGTTAGAAAAGCTCTAAGAGGATTGTGAACACAGATTATTCAGAAATTTTATTCTACACTAAAGAAAGGAAACAAAATTCTAAATAAGAGGCAGAGCTTATATAAGAAAGAATATTCAGAACTCTAGGTCTGTGAACTCAATGCCTTGGTCTTGCATCAAAAGTTTGACAAATGTGTTGTGTTTTTATCTGTTAAATTTGTTTGTATGTATTGGGACAGGAGTTCTGGCATAGCAGATTAAGTCATTGTTTGGGACATGAGCATCTCACTGGGTGCCCCGTTACGTCCTGACTATTCTGCTTCCAATCCAGCTTCCTGTAATACTCCTGGGATGCAGCAGATAATGGCTCATGTACTTGATCCCTGACACCGTTGGGGAGACCAGGGACATTCCTGGCTCTTGGCTGCAGCTAGAGGCAGCTCTGTGTGTTATGAGCATTTGAGGAATGAACCAGTGGATAGAAGATCTCTGCGTCTGTCTCTCTGTCTCTCTCTTTGTGTCACTCTGCCTTTCAAATATGTAAAAACAAAAAAAATATTTTAAACAGTCATATGATTCCTATGGGTATCCCAGGCAGCTGCTTAACTGCCATGCCAAATGCCTGACCCCCCAATCTCTTTTCCTTAAGGAGTAATCCATTTATTCAACAACACACTTTTATCAAGGACATGTGATCAGTAAGAAATGCTATGTTAGGGATACAGAGCAAATAAGCTGTCCTCCTGCTCTGTCTAGTTGGGGAGTCATTCCACATTGTGTGACCAGTGCTGGATTGGAAGTCTGTGGGCTTGAGGGTGTAGAGAGCATAGAGAAAGTGACAGGGGGCCGGTGTTGTGGTTCAGTGTGTTAAGCTGCTGCCAGTGATGCATGCACTCATATGGGTGCTGGTTTGAGTTCTGGCTGCTCCATTTCCAACCCTTGATCCAAGAAAATGTGCCTGGGAAAGCAGTGGAAGATGGCCCAAGTGCTTGGGTCCCTGCCACCCACATGGGAGACCCAGAATAATCTCCTGGTTTGGCCCAACCCTGGCCATTGTGGACATTTGAGTGATGAAACAGCAGATGGAAGATTGCTCTCTGTGTCTCCCTCTCTCTCTAACTCTGCCTTTCAAATAAATAAATAAGAGAAAGGAAGAGAGGAGGGAAGGGAAGGGGAGGGGAGGAGAGGGGAGAGAAAAGAGAAGGGGAGGGAGGGGGGAAGGGAAGGGAAGGGGTGAAAATTTGACTGGAGATCTAAGAAGGCTCCTAAGAAGATGCTCCCAAATATACCCTCACATCTGGAGATCAGTTATCCTCAGCACCATACTACTTTTATAATTGATTTTTGTTGTAACTCAGTCATTGAAAGAACTACAAAGGCAAGGAAGGGATGGCAACTTCAAAACCAGGGGGGAATCAGAATAAGGAAACCGAGGGGTCCACTTCATTTCCTTTCCACTAACCTCCTTACACTACACTGGCTTTTGGTGAAAGAAACGGACAGGTTCAGGATTGTCATGGTTGAACCATCTCAGACTATTCAGGTAAATGAGCATTAACTGGCTCTAATATAAGCATATCTTTTCCCCTATTAGTCAGTGTTAATTTATTTCCTGTTGTTTAATATTTATTTGAAAGAGTGACAGAGAGACAGAGACAGAGAGAGAGAGAGAGAAGGAGAGAGAGAGAGAGAATGAACCTGGGCTCCTGGCTTCAGACTGGCCCAGTCCCAGTTGTGGGCAACTGGGGAGTAAACAAGCAGATGGGAGGCACTCTCTCTCTCTAACTCTCTCTCTCTTTCAAATAAATACAAATAAATAAACTTTATCAAAATAAACTTATTTTTGAATTCCATTTTCTATGAACTTGAGAAGTTATCCTCGTGTTACAAATGCCACAGGAGTGATAAGCAGTAAGAGCTGGAGTCACTCAGAGCAAAGGAGAGAATCATTTCAGGTTTATAAGGCGGCATCTGTGTTTCCTCTTGATGGAAGTGTAATACTGGAAAACGCAGAAAGGAAGAAAAGGATAACCCCAAAAAGGAAATGCAGGGTGCACTACAGGCAGTACTTTTTGGACCTATAAAGCTTATGGATCACAGACCTTGCAAAACAATTAAGGAGCACTAATATTAGGCTTGTGGGGCCAGCGCTGTGACATAGTGGGTAAAACCGCTGCCTGCAGTGCCAGCAACACAAATGGGTGCCTGTTCAAGTACCCGCTGCTCCACTTCTGATCCAGCTCTTTGCTATGGCTTGGGAAAGCAGTAGAAGATGGCCCAAGTGCTTGGGTCCCTGCACCTGAGTGGGAGACCCAGAAGAATCTTCTGGTTCCTGGCTTCAAATCGGTGCAGCTCTAGCCATTGTGGCCATTTGGGGACTGAACTAGCATACAGAAGACTTCTCTCCCTTTCTGCCTCTGCCTCACTGTAACTCTGCCTTTCAAATAACTCTTTTTAAAAAAATTAGGGCTGCAATCTTTATTAGCCAAGTCTCGACATATATTATCTGTTAATATAATTAATCAACTCTAAAACACACTCTTGAAAAATCAGGTTTGTGTCTTACAGATGTTAGAATCTTCTCATCAATTGCTGTAGGGCCAGCAGTCTTAATGTATTCACTGTGTGCATAATTTTTAAAAACTTCTTAAAAATTGGAAAAAAATTATTTGAGAGACAAAAACAGACAAAGGAAGAGAGATTCCATCCCTTGGTTCACTCCTTAAATACCCACAGAAGTCAGGAGCTGGGCACTCAGTCCAGATCTCCTGCATAGCCTTCTGCTCTCCAGGACAGGCACTGGCAAGAAGTTGGAGTAGGGAACTGGAGGTGGGTACTGAATCCAGGCACTCTGATATCTGCTGGGGGTGCCTGAGCCAACATCTTAACTGCTAGGCCAAATGCTTGCTCCTGCATAATTTTTAGAATACATTAAAAAATACATTAGCCAATTTTATTTGCTTACATTTTCTTGTTTATATATGCACAATAGTAATATAAAAATATGTTTAAGTAAATCTAAAAGAGGTCTGTCTATACATATAAAAATCATAAGTGATAAGAAAGCACTGTGTCAGCATCTGTCAGCATTTTTTCTTTTGCATTAGCATGCAATGATGCCTCTTACAGTCATTTGATGAAATATCATCTACTATCACTATCATTCCACAAAATAAAGGCATTTTAATACCAAAAATCTGGGAAGTACACACTATCAGAATAAAGAATAAAAAACAAATCTCCTCCTATTTTCTTCTTGATCATTATACTCTATCCACAATGACATCAGGGAAGGTTCTATGAAGAATCTGAGATTCTACCCTACTAATTGGCTGCTTTCTACTTCACAAATGCTGGCAGAAGTCATGAGGCTCCCAGGTAAGAAACAAAGGATGTTATTATGTCTGGCAAAAGCAGTAGCCAGAGCTTCATATTAACACTGGTTCTCTATGTCACTGAAATCCCACAGAACCAACACAGGTGGGTCTGGATGGACACCAGTACATGGGGTGGACTTCATCACACCGAGGGCAGGGAAGCTACTGCTTTCTTTTTTTATTTTTATTTTTTTGACAGGCAGAGTGGACAGTGAGAGAGAGAGAAAGGTCTTCCTTTGCCATTGGCCGCTGCAGCCGGCGCACCACACTGATCCGATGGCAGGAGCCAGGTACTTATCTTGGTCTCCCATGGGGTGCAGGGCCCAAGCACTTGGCCATCCTCCACTGCACTCCCTGGCCACAGCAGAGAGCTGGCCTGGAAGAGGGGCAACCGGGACAGAATCCGGCGCCCCAACCGGGACTAGAACCCGGTGTGCCGGCGCCGCAAAGCGGAGGATTAGCCTAGTGAGCCACGGCACCGGCCAGGAAGCTACTGCTTTCACAGTGAGAAGGAAGCAAGGCTGCTGTCTTCAGGGAGATGTCACCTCATCTTTAAAAGTTGCTCTCAGCAAACACAGTCCTGAGAAACAGCCCAGGTAGACAGTGGCCAGGACCTTGCATTCTTGGGATACCCAGCAGTGGATGCTGAAGGCCCACGGTGAGCTGTTCTCCCAACAGCTTCTGGCTGGTCCTTTAACACATCAGGCCTGCTCTTGCCTCATGCCTTTGCAGTGTTCATTCCCTTAGCCTAGAAGGTTCTTCCTGAGACATCAGCAGGACTCTTTCCTTACCTCCTCCAAATCTTTGCTCCAATGTCACCTCCATAAGTCCTTCCAGACCACTCTATTTAAAACTGCACCCTCCCTCCCACCCCCCATCTCATTCCATTCTATTTTCTGACAGCACTTGTCACCCTGCTATATAAAGTAAGTTCATGAATTACATTTACATTTGTCCTCTGTCTCTCCCTACTCCCTAGCTCCAAGAAGGTTAAGTCCCATAGTTGCATTAGGATATATGATGGCCCTGGTGAACAACCCACAGGTAACTCTCACCCCTGAGTGAGGGTGGAACCACTCTTCCCAGGACTTTGCTGATGTAAAGGCACTGATCAGCTGACTCAGGGTCAATGGAAAGGCAGATTACCCAGGTGGAAGTGACCTAACTACATG